GAGAGGTAAATAGATGTTTTGTTTCTTTTTATTGTTTCTTAAATTGAAGTATAGCTTAGTATGTTAGTCACTGTGACAAAATACTTGAGAAAATCAACCTAAGAGTTGAAGAAAGATTTGTTTTGGTTCACGGTTGTTACAAATGCATACTCCCATGTCTGGCTCCCCCCCCCCCCCAAAGGACAGTTCTTTGTTAAACTCAAATCCTCACATGTGCAAGCACTTTATCGACTGATGTATGTACTTAGCCATAACCAGCCCGCTTTGAGACAGGATCTCACATAGCCCAGGCTAGCCTCAAACTCTACATAGCCAAGAATGACCTTGAAGCGATCCTCCTGCTTCAGCCTCATAAATGCTGGGATTATGGGTGTGTGCCATCATGCCTGGTTTTATGCAGTGACTGGGATCAAATCCAGGGTTACATGCATGCCAAGCAAGCACCCTACAAATTGAGCTACAGCCTGGGCCCTCTTTATCAAAGGCCTTTGATTGACTAAGTTAATAACCTCATGATCCAATCTCCTCTTACCACAGCTGGGGACCAAGCTTCCAACACATGAGCCTTTGGGGGAGGGGCATGCCATATACAGACTATATCAGACAAGGTGAACATCCAAACAGATACCAGACAGGATGAACGCCCAAACAGATACCTGGGCACATGGACCTCGCCACCATTGAACCGGCACTCAGATGGTGGTTCTTCTGTCCCACCTCCCTGGGACATTCTGGTATTCCCTTCCCAGTTATTAACACCTTGTCTACCCAAGGCAGTCACTGCCAAGCCTCTGTCACTACAAGGTTGGCTTTTGCAGTTCTGAATTTTGAACAAATGAAATCATGCATTATAGACACTCTCGTGTCTAGGTTCTGTCAAATCGTGCCTGGGAGGTTCGGCGGCGTTGGCCGGGCTATCGTTCATTTCCTTCACTTAGGCTGACGTCGCACCGTGTAAAGACACCAGCGGGGGCTGTGGAGATGGCTCAGTGGGTTAAAACACGTGCCGTGAAAGCCTGATGACTTGGGCTGGAGGCTTGGAGCCCGTGGAGGATCTGGGCACAGTGATGGAAGCATCTGTAATCCCAATACACCCTGAGATGGCGAGTAGAGCCGGGAGAGCCACCAAGAGCTCACGGCCAGCAAGCCTGCAGCCTGGAGCTGAGCCTCCTTGCCTTTGTTTTTGTTTTTTGTTTTGAGACAGAGTCTCCTTGTGTAGCCCTGGCTGGCACAGAACTTGCTATGTAGACCAGGCTGGCCTTGAACTCACTCACCAAGCTCTGCCTCTCCATTGCTCTATACAAGCACATGTCGCCACACTGAGTTCACCTCTACCACTCTTGACAGGTGCATGCATTGCTTCGGACTTTTTGTTATTGGAAGGAAAGCCACTCAGAAGATTCTTTTTTTTAAAAGGTTTATGTGTATGTGTGTAGAGGAGGCAGGTATATGCGTGTGGGTGCCGGGAACTGGACTCAGGTCCTCTGCAAGATCAATACGTGCTCTTCTTAACCACTGAGCATCTCGCCGGCCCCTTGGAGGATCCTTGGACCTGCCATGTCATACCATAAGTGCTCATTTCCGTTGTAACTGTCCCCAAGAGAGGAACAGGCATCATGGAGCACACGTATGTTTAGCATTCAGAGGTATGGCTCAGATCTCTTCCAGTGTATTCTACCATGTTAGGGTAGGGTCATCTTAATAGAAAATATCAGCAGAGGGAGGTGGGCAGTCTTAATGATGTCGTTGTGGTGGCCGCTCCCTGCCCACCTCCACTGAGGAAGCCGCAGACCCTGCCTGCCTCTGCTGGCCAGGCCCCCCTCACCCTGGCCCAGGCTCGCTGTACCCTGAGCGTGTGAAGCTTTGTAGCTCTTTTCCATCATTCCTTATCAGTCACCAGAGCTGTCATTACAACATTGCCTTGCTGTGGGCAAGCCACAGCGTCCAAGATTATAGCTTATCTTCCATTGAGGCCTGTTCAACCGATGTCTTCCTTGTCAAGAGGCACCCCGGGCTTCCCGCAGACATCCATGCAGCCTTCTGGTCTTATCAGCAACCAGCATGCATGACATCTCTTGGTAGCTTGTTGCTTGATGAGGTTCCTGGAGACCTGGGCCAAAGATGCCTATCTCTTCTGTGTATGGTGACGTGCGTGCATTTTTATGGCACGGTGACAGTGACGGGCCCAGTCCCTGGAGTGTGGTGTGCATTTTATACGGACACTGTGCGCCGATTACAAAATCAATAGCAAGTTGAAAAGACCTCAGAGATCATCAGTCCGCTTTCCTCCCACAGATGGGGGAACGGGCTCAGGGTGGTGACTCAAACTGTGCAAAGACACACAGCTTATCGCTGACCTGTTCAACCCGGGTTCATTCCTCTGTAATAGACATACAGCCAGGATGGCCACCTGGACACTGTTTGCCTTGTTAGGCGTGGCCGGTGTCGTGCCGAGCGGCCGTACCACGAGTGTTTCAGCCTATCTGGGGTTGATGGCGCGTGCCTATCATCCCAGCACTTTGAAGGTGGAGGCAGGAGGATCAGTCAAGTTCATCCTTGCTGCGGAGTACCCTGGCAGCCAGCCTGGGCTTGGTTGACACCCTGTTTCAGAGAGTCTCTTGAGCTGCTGGCTGGTTGCCTTTTGGGACAGTGCTCAGGTTGGAACATTTGTCCCATCAGTGATGATGGCGGGCACTCCTTTGGAATACCTGGCAATTCTATTTTCACTCCTCATGTTCATGCCCCCACCAGGTAAGTTCTAGGAGTCGGCTGCATCCCCATTTCAGAGACACGTAAAGTAAGGCCCGGACATCACTGCTGTTCCTCCCTAGATGACATGCGATGTGGGACTCAGCTCCGGCCACTAGCATGGGTCTTCCTTGTGCTTTGAAGGGCAGATGCTGCTCCTCCATGGAGCCTCCTAGGATCCGCCTGCAGCTGCTACCGCTTTCCCCTCCCAGGTCCGCCCTTAGTAACCTCTCCTTGTGAATTCACCCCTCAACATGGGGCCTTGTGTAGGGACCAAGTTGAGGCCTACAGACCACTATCCTGAACCTGACACACACAGTCTGATGTGTGTATACTCTGGATGCAGGATGCTGGAGGGCCCCAGATGGGATGCTCCCCACTTATTGCATCTGCTCCCCTAATCCCTGTACTCTCAGTCTTGAGCAAGCAGGTGTGAAGCTGTGGCCTCACCTCCTTTCCAGAGCTCAGACTCTAGCCAGGGTGGAGGTGGAGGTGGGGCGGGGGGGTGGGGGGTGGGAGGAGTGTGTTAGGAGGATGGGACTAGACTTTAGTCAGTTTCCCTGTGGGCCCCTCTAGCCCCACCCTTGACTTATACCTCTGGACGCTGGGTAGAAGGGGTCCACAGTCTTTTGAGGGCTCCTAGCCTCCCATTAAAACTTCTGTCCCTTGGAGGAGAAGCTATGTGCAGCTTGGGGACAACGTGAACGGATGATCTGGTGCTGAGAGGGAGCTGTGCTGAATTACCTTCTTTAAAAGCCGAGGCTGGAGGGGCTGGGGAGGCGCCTTAGTGGATAAAGCATGAGCTTTAATATGTAGGGCTGGAATTCGGGTGCACAGAACTCACGTAAATACCATGTGGGCGTGCGGTATACCGTTCATCCTGGTGCTTGCTTGGAAGGGGGAAGAGCTGGATCCCCCCGAGCAAGCTGGCTAGCTGTCCGAGAAAGATCTGGGTTCACTTGAGAGCCTCTGACTCAATGAGAGTAGAATGGAGAGTGACCAAGGAAGACATTCCTACCATCAACTTCGGGCCTCCACTCCCATGTGTGCACACGCATTCACATACGTACTCACACACACAAGCACCACACATACACACATACGCGAAACAAAATCTAGGAAGCAGAAGCTGAGAGGGTCAGAGCGGGTGGTACAGAGGCATAGATTTGCTAGGCACGTGTGTGGTCTCAAGAGGAACCGAGATGGGCAGCCAAGCGGAGATGAGGTTTAGGAAGTTTAGCCTTAGCCTGTCCCTAGGGGGAGTCTGAAAGACTGAGCAGCCTCAATCACCCCTCCCTCTGAGTGTGTGTGTGTGTGTGTGTGTGTGTGTGTGTGTGTGTGTGTGTGTGTGTATGCACGCACACATGCATGCTGGGTAATGGGTCACCTGCGTGCTGTGAGCCATTAGTGGCAGAGGGAGATGGGCACACCTGTCGTATTGTAGACCTGGGCACAGCACCAAGAGCGCCCAAGACTGGGAGCCAAGCTAACATCAACTGGCCACCCAGCCTTCGGTGTTTTCAGACTTGGGGGTCACAACCTGCGACCCAAGTCATGTCTGTCCACTGTCCTCAAAAAGCCAATTAAAAGAGACAAATCAATAGTAGGATGCAGAAAAAGATTTACTCAACAGAGCCACATTGGAAAGAAGGACAGAGATCCAGTGAACCCCAAAAGTCCATGTTAGGGGGTCCTGAAATAAGACTAATGACATGCACATCGAAGCAGTCCCTGTGACGGTGTGGCCCCGCCCACCACTGACCCATCATCCTCTGGGCTTCGGTCTCTTCCTGTGAGGTGACCTGATGCGTTGTTGGAATTATGTGAAATCTCTTGCTGGAGACAAAATCCTCTTCTGTCTGGTCCTTCTCCTTCTCCCATGATATTCCTGGGGAAAATTCCCATTCCTCGGGATCCTTTGTTTTAATAGTCTGATAGGATAGATTGGGAGACAGCATCTCTTTAGAATTTCTTCATTTCTGCCATGCCTGTTTCAGCAGAGTATTCACAACACCCCCACCCCCACCCCACTGTCCTCCTCCCTCACTGAAAAGCAAATATGGCGGCACCTCTTTCCCAAATCCTGAGCTCTCCTGACTCTGGCCTGGGCCCCGGGAGGAGTCCATCCTGGCCCAGTGTGGGTGAAGTCTGGGAAGCCGGTCTGGACTCTTCCCCAGACACACTGAGAGGCCCACACCTAGCCCCTGAGCTCCGTGAGTCCTCCCTACCCCTCCTCTGTCCTCTCTCCACAGCCCCAGCCCAGGCCCAGATCGTGCACGCAGGGCAGGCCTGTGTGGTGAAGGAGGACAACATCAGCGAGCGAGTCTACACCATCCGGGAGAGCGACACCCTGGTGCTGCAGTGCCTAGTCACTGGGCACCCCCGGCCCCAGGTAAGCTGGGCCTCGGCCTTGCCGGGCTCCCGTCTGCCCACACACTGTCACCCGGGATCAGAGTCTGAGAGGAAGCAGGAGGTGAGGATCTACACTCCACAGGGCTAGCGACAAGACAGGACGAGACAGACTGGGACCGGACGACTAGCCTGGAGATGGACTCTTTAGGGAAATGCTGGATGCTGAGGACAGCGGAGAGGAGAAATGGAATGCTAGTTGTTCCATTTCACTTCATCCTCTGTGGAGCAGACACATCTTTACACACACCTTTAAGAAATGCTGGCGAGGGGACAGTATGCCAAGGAGGACCCATGCTCAGTGTTCTCTCTCTCTCTCTCTCTCTCTCTCTCTCTCTCTCTCTCTCTCTCTCTCTCTCTCTCTCTCTCTCTCGCTCCTCCAAAGGCCCCATTTTACAGCTAAGAGAAAGCAAGGCCCTGGGAGTCTGGGCAGACTCCCAAGGTCCCACAATACTTCCGCTAGCAGAAGCAGACTCGGAGTCTAGAGGCTGCCCTCTCTCTGGCTTGGCACGCTGCCCTCCTCTTTGGGTTAGGAGCCGCAGCGGCAGCACTTGGGGCTTTTCGGCAGGCCAGAGCAAACTCCGGAGGTTCAAAGACACAAAGCAATTAGAAGGGGACAGAAGACAAGTGTCTGGAAATGCCAGATGAGTTTTGCCATAGATCAAGTGCTCAGGTTCAGGCAGGAGGTAGCTAGCGGCTGGCGGTTGCCGAAGGCTGATGGAGGAGGCAGGTGGGGAAGGAGGACTGGAGGAACTGGCCGCCTGGCGAGCTGCTGTGACCTTTAATACTTGAATAGCGGTAACAAAGGTGGCAATTGGATTCTAGGAAGGACGTTGAAATACAGAATCTTTTTTTTTTTCTTCCCTGATAATTTGGGGGAACGGAGACAGCTTTCACAGCTTTGGCTTTGAGATAAGCAGATGTGCAAGGAAACCCCTCAAGATTTCTTCATCTAAAGCCTCCGCCACAGCTCGCTCCTGCTCAAAGGTTTGTTTGGCTCGCTGGCAGGGCAGCTGCGTTTCTGTGGACCTTGGTGTCACGTGCGGTCACGGCAGTGGGGATGTGGCCAGTGAGGCTAGGGAGAGAGCTGCCAGGCGATGCTGACCCATCTGTGTATGTGTCCCATAGGTGTGACCACTGGAGGCCATGGCTGGGTGACAGGGTCTCAGGGGACCCGGGCAGGCCTCAGATTTGCCACATAGACAAGGATAACTGAACCTCTGCGCTTCCTGCTTGTACGTGTGCCATGCTGGCATCACAGACACGAGTTCCCACGCCCAGTTTGTGCGGGGCTGGGGCTCGAACCCAGGCTTCGGTGCATGCTGAGCTAGGCAAGCGCCCCCCTGTCTTCCTGTTTTTGTTAATGGTTTTATTGCTCGCCCTGTGGGACAAGCTCACGTATTTGGCTTTGCCCTACCTCCTCCGCAGTTGGCCAGACTCTTGTCTTCAGTCCCGTCCCTGGACCACCGTGGTAGATTGAAATTGATCTCCCAGGCTCTTTGCTTGCCCCCTACCTTGATTCCACTGGAATGAACACCCCCAAATCTGCTCCAACTTAGCAACTACCAATGGCTCCCCATTGTTTACCATCTTTGCTCAAGGCCCTGGGGTGCAACTGGAGACTTTTTGTATCCTGGCTCCACTTGCCCCTGCACACCCGTGTCCCGGCCATATGCCCACCCCCCCCCCCACCGTCATTCTCCAGGTACACCCTATCCATTCTGCTTCTGTCACTGCGGTGTCCTCTCCCCAGCTGTCTCCTTCGCTGCCTGTTTCCTGACAGTGACACTGAGCATCTGTCATGGTCCAAACACAGTTGATGGGTGTCAAGATGCATCTGGGGCACCTAAGCATCGGGGGAGCAAGGGGTGAGCCTCAAGGCCCTTGCCAGCCAAGGTCGGGACAGAAGAGTGGGCAGACACAGAGCTCATGGGTTCAAAGAAGAAGCAAGAGCATGGGCGTGCTAGGGTCTGCGACCCAGAGGGAGTCTACACAGAAAGGGAAACCGCAAACCCAAGATTTTGTTGCCACTCAAGCAACCAGTGACTTGAGGACAAGTTGTTGGGCAGGGAAAAGGGGTGATTCAAAGAGCTAGCCAGCTGAAAGAAGATGCAGGTCGAGGGATGTAGCTCAGCAAACGGAACTCTTATCTAGCGTGTGCTCTGGGTTCTATTCCCCAGTGCTACAAAATAAGGTGTGGTGGTGCACGCCTATAAACCCAGAGCTTTGGAGATGGAGTCCAGAGGATCTGGAGTTCAAAGTCATCCTCGGGAATATATCAAGTCCATGGCCAGCCAGGGCTATACCTGAGATCCTGTTCAAAAATAAAAAAGAGGCTCTCTCCCAGGTGGTGATGTCTGGCTTCTGTAGGAAGCTGTGGAACAGACAGATGGGAGCCAAGCAGTGTGAGTCCTCGGGGTGGTCACAGACTTTGGGTGCTCTGCCTTTCTGATGTGCAGATGCTGTCCACTATAGGCTCCTGGAATATTCTGGGTTCTTTAAATCTAAAGCAAAAGTTATGAATGAGCAAGCCTCTGTTCTTTGTGCTTTTGGTTTGCTTTCCAAGGAATAATTAATCCTGTAGCTAATTACTAGGACACAAAAGTCTCCTCTGGGAACAAGAAGAAATGGAAAGCTGCTTTTCCCCAGAGTATGGGAGAAACAGAGAAAGGCATCTGAAGAAGGCATTTGAGGGGGTGAGGGGGGCAGTTTTAAAGCTGTTAGGTGTCATCTACTAGAAAGCCAGGGGGAGTACACTGTATATTATATGGCCCAGCTGTGTGACCTCCCAAATTAGTGGGATTTTAAGTCAACTAAAAAGAACAAATGAATCGAGAGGGGTTTTTTAAAAGGATTTTCCCCCTGGGTGCCAGCCACAGTGAGCAGAAGCTGAGGAGCCTGGATTTGCACACACCTCAGGAGGAGGAGGAGGAGATGTGTGCTCATACACGCACGGCAAGTAGGCCCGAGGCACACGGGAAGCCCACGGAGGCCGTGTTGCCATTGCTGAGACAAAAATGCCTGAGAAAGTCTCCCAAAGCATGCCCCTACTGTGACAAACGTCTTCAAATGAGTTCCCATAAGCTGCATGCCATCAAAACGGAACCCACCGATAATCCACCTCCCCAAAGCCCATTGGCGAGCATCAAAGCCTTGAACACGCGAACCTCCTGGGGACACTGCACATCCAAACCACAGCAAGGCTACAGCCCCGTCCAGGACGAGGAGCTGATGTGGCTCCAGAACAAGAGCTTCTGCCTCTGACGGGGGACCAGAAGCCTGTGCCCAGAGTCACAGCAGGGTGCCGGCACCCAAGAGAAAGCAGAACCCTGCTTGCTCCGTGTCTTGATCAGTTTGATGTGGGAAAGAACAAACAGAAATCATAGGATTAAAAGCAGTAGTCTTTTCTTTAAAAAAAAAAAAAAAAGAAAGAAAAAAGCCTTAGTACCTCAGAGATAGCTAAAGAGAAAATGAGTAAATTGGGTGATAGATCTAGGATATTAGACACAAGTCTGGAGAAGCAATGGGAATTATGAAATAGGGGTTTGAGGATGTAGCTCAATTAGTAGCATGCCTAGCACGCGTGAAGCCCAGGGTCGGACCCCAGCACTGCATTAAGGGACATGGTGCTACACTCACGTAATCCCGGCCACTGTGGAGGCAGAGGCAGAAGAATCAGGAGGTTCAAAGTTATCTGTCAGTTACATAGCATTTGAACCCAACCCGAGATAAGAAAAAAAAAAAAATCTCTGACTCCAGTTCCAGTGGGTCCAACAATCCTCTTCTGGCCTCCAAAGGAGGCATGCACATTGTACACAGAAATAAACGAGACAAAACAAAACAACCTACCCAAACCAAAATCCAAGTTTTTGAATAGTATGCTAAGATCCACATAGACAAATTAAGATAAAGCCACAGAGCATCACCAATTAACCAAGAGCACTATTAATAATAGAAATTGTTGAGTGACTAATGTATCCGAGGCACCGCATTTAAGTGCTCCGCTTCCTAAGCCTCATAACTTGCAAAGTAGGCATTATGCTATATTAGTTATTGTTGACTGGCAGATACTTCAAAACTCAGGGGCTTGGAGCCTGGAACCCTTCCTGTCTCCCAGTGCCAGCGGCAGGAATCCAGCAGCGACTGATTCCCACGCAGGCTCTCTCACAAGACTGTGGTTGGGTGCCGCTCATCAGCGCATGACTGAGGCTGGAGAACTCTGCAGGGGGAAGAGGGCGGCCGATGGCTTCTCCTGGGCTCCTCTCCACAGGACTGCTTAGGGCAGAAGAGCAGATCGAGCCATGGTGGAAATCAGTTTTCATACGCTGTCGTAGACTCTCTCCTGCTGAAGTCTATGGGCCACACAGACCCTCCCTAGAACGGTGGGCGGGGCCTACAGAAGAGAGAGAAGCCCATCTTTGGAGACTGGCTTCCGGGTACAGCTCTTTCCAATCCAAGAGTGTGAGATTGAGGGTTGAGTAACCTATGAGGTCACTAAGCTAAGAAGTGGGTTAACACACATCGTTTATTCGGTTAACAGGCTTCCCAGCACTAAGTATACACTTACCCAATCCTTGGTTAACTCTAGGCAACTTAGTTGGGCAGGCTCCTGACTTAGAGCCTCCTCCCTCTGATCTTGACCTCTGCCCTGAAGCTCTCCTCACTGAGGCGTCCTGAGGGGTCTCCTCTGTGCCTTCCTGCCACTTGTTTGGGTCAGGCCTGGGTTCACTCTCTCCTGTGCCTTGGAAAGCGTGGGGCAGGCAGGGGACGCCCGTGCAGGGCCCTCGGCCCTCTCTACGCGGACCTCAAGGCGGTGACTCGCCCACCCAGGTGCGGTGGACCAAGACTGCTGGCAGCGCGTCTGACAAGTTCCAGGAGACGTCTGTGTTCAACGAGACGCTGCGGATCGAGCGCATCGCCCGCACGCAGGGCGGCCGCTACTACTGCAAGGCGGAGAATGGGGTGGGAGTGCCGGCCATCAAGTCCATCCGCGTGGATGTGCAGTGTGAGTGGAGGCCCTGTACCCTGACAGTCCGTACCCCTACAGGGGACAGCTCCCGATCCCTCGGGGGTGGGGAAAGGGTAGGACGGAGAAGTGGAGGACTGAAGAGGCTTCTCTTTGGGAATGGGCCACTGTATCTCCCTAAACCTTTTTCTCATTCCCATGTCACCCTCCTCCCATGGACCTTGATGGCGCCCTTTAAAGTGGACAGGGCATGCTGGATTATATTTCTTCCACGGAGGAGGAAAAGCAAGGTACCAGAGCAGGACAGCTTCCTATGTGAATTGAGGACACAATTAGGAGTTCTGCGATTTTCCTCTCCACCACCCCATGCAACTGTGGACCCCAGCCACAGCCCTGGCTGGACACTAGACTCTCTGAGGACAGTTTAGGATTGTATTTATTTATGTAGTGTGTGTGTGTGTGTGTGTGTGTGTGTGTGGCAGAGCGTCTCAGGACAGCTTGCAGGAGCGTGCTCTCCCCTACCTCCTGGGTCTTGGGGACTGGAGGGAGGTATTTTACCCACTGAGCCATGAGGCAGGCAGGATCCCTGTGAGTTCGAGGCCAGCCTGGTCTACAAAACAAGTTCCAGGACAGCCAGGGCTACACAGAGAAACCCTGTCTCGAAAGACCAGAAACAAACAAACGAACCCTGCTGATCCCTGGGCTCAACTTCAACTTGCAGAAGTTCTTACGTGCGTGCGTGACAGGGAATGTGGCCTGGCATCAAGGATGCTCTTCAGCCACCAGTTCAACAACTGTTTCCGTCTGCACCTGAGTAAGCACCACTGGTTTTAAGGGGTAGTGTGCTTTGAAGGAGCGAGGCTAGGGCCGGTCCAGCCTATGGTCCAGAGACCATATGCACCCTACAATGGCCGTAAATAAAGCCTGGCACAAAATACCAAACTTGCTCAAAACACTAGTAGATTCGTTTCTTTCTTTTTTTCTGTCACTTGATTTTGCAATTCTTAGTTATGAATTATCTAGATGAAAACATCATGTTCCACTGTCAAAATGTAGGCAATTCCCTTACACCCTTTTCCAGACAGTAACACCCCAGAGACAATCACCACCCATGAGGGGTTCCGGGCATTGAGTTAAAGAGAAATTTCAGGTTGAGATGTGGCCCAGTGGGTAGAGTGTTTGCTGAGCATGCCAAAGGCCCTGGCGGTGATGTCCCACACTGCATAAATTGATGTGGTGGTGTACGCCTGTAAGACCCAAGCGTGGGCAGTGGAGGCAGGAGTCTCACGAGTTCAAGGTCAGCCTCAGCTCCATGGTGAGTTCCAGGCCAACCTGGGATAGGTGAGACCCCGTCTCAAAACAAAAACAAAAACAAAAACATAAAACAAAGCAAAACTTGGGGCTGGAGTGATGGCTCAGTGGTTAAGAGCACCAACTGCTCTACCAGAGGAACCAGGTTCAACTCCCAGCACCCACATGGCAGGTAGCAACTGTCTGTAACTCTAAGATCTGACACCCTCACACACACATACATGCATACACAAATGCACATAAAAAATAAAGATAATAAATTGTTTTAAAAAAAACAAAGCAAAACTCAAAAAAGCAACCATAGGAGAAAAAAAATCTTCATATCGTTTAACTGGAGCTGGATGCTGCCCATCTGGTCTGCTTCGTCAGTGAGGAAACCGAGGCCCAGAAAGAAAAGGACTAGGCAGTCGCTCTATACACTCACAGCCAATGAGGGAGCTGAGCTTAGCTTTCTGTTTGTCTCCAGTGTATGGCTGCCTGTTCCATCCTGTGAGAGGTGTAGAGCTAGAGGCCCCATTCAGGTCCCTGGGAAAGAAGGGCAGCTGCTAGGGAGCCCTGGAAGCCATTAGATCCAGTCCCCTGCCTCCAACACCATGGTCAAGCTTGCGGAAGCGAAGGCGGGCATCAGCTTCCCGTGCCTTTGGAGAGGGGCTCTGCTCTCCCCAAGGGCTGCAAGGCGCCTGAGCCCCCTGCTCTGGGGGCGCCTCATCTTGACTTAGGGCTGCTTGTCCTTGCAGACTTGGATGCGCCCGTGCTGACGGTACACCAGACAGTGAGTGACGTCCGAGGCAACTTCTACCAGGAGAAGACGGTATTTCTACGCTGCACCGTCAGCTCCAACCCACCCGCCCGCTTCATCTGGAAGAGGGGCTCCGACACCCTCTCCCACAGCCAGGACAACGGGGTTGACATCTATGAGCCTCTCTACACCCAGGTCAGGATGGGCAAGCTGGCTCCTCACACTCTTGCACCCCGCGAGGGTGCCCCCCAAAAAGGGGCTGAAGCCTGGTGGCCCAGACTCCTGGAGACTGGCCCGATCTCAGCAATTCAGGGCCTTGGTGGGAGACACCTGTTCTAGAGTTCACACAGCCTGGGGGTGAAAAGTCAGAGAGCAGAGAGGTCAGAGGTCAGAGGGAGTCCCAGACAGGGGAGTCCCAAAGGCAACATATTCCCCCCAGAGCATGGCTGGATAGGAAAAAACATCCAAAGGACAAGCAAACCATCTGTGCCTGCTGCTGTGGCTGAGATGGGGACCCATGAGCGGATGCTATAGGATTTGGGGCGGAAAGGCCTCTCGGTCCATACCTCCCCCGCACGTGGTTCCAAGGGATGGAGATAAAGCCGTTCTGCCAGGGAGGGCTTTCCAAAGTGACTGTCAGCCAAGGCCTTACGTGGTCTGTGGGCCGGTCCCGTGTTGTGTGGGTTACAAGCCACAACGGTATTCCCTGCTCACGCCTGCTCTTCCCCAGAAGGAAAGGGCACTGAGGCCTAATCCTGGACAGTGTGCACCAGGGCTGCCTCTGCCCCAGAGAAGCCCGTGGTGGAAGCACTGTCAGGGGCATGGCGGCTTCCTAGGGGAAGAGGTACGGGTAGGGCTTGAGCAGGAATTGCCTGTGGACTGTGGTGTGGTGTAGATGAATGGATGTGGGGGACCCCAGGAGACCCAAGCAAGCCCTTACTCCGGTGATCCACTGCCACCCAGGGGGAAACAAAGGTCTTGAAGCTGAAGAACCTGCGGCCCCAAGACTACGCCAGCTACACCTGCCAGGTGTCCGTGCGTAACGTGTGTGGCATCCCCGATAAGGCCATCACCTTCCGGCTCACCAACACCACAGGTACAGGCGCGGCCCCGCCCCGCACCTACCTGGACCCGCTCCCCACCCTACCGCCCAGGTCTTCCTCTCCAGCATCCATTCCCGGGTTTCTCTCGTCCCTGCCAGAGTGCCCCTGACCTCTCCCCCTACCCAGGTGTTTCTGTCCCCTCATCTCCCTCTCGTTTAGCCCCGGAAGCCTCCTGAGACCCAACCTCCTTGTCCCCTCAGCACCGCCAGCCTTGAAGCTGTCTGTGAACGAGACCCTGGTGGTGAACCCCGGGGAGAACGTGACGGTGCGGTGTCTACTGACGGGCGGCGACCCCCTGCCCCAGCTGCACTGGTCCCACGGACCCGGCCCGCTGCCCCTGGGTGCTCTGGCTCAGGGTGGCACCCTCAGCATCCCTTCAGTGCAGGCCCGGGACTCTGGCTACTACAACTGTACAGCCACCAACAACGTAGGCAACCCAGCCAAGAAGACGGTCAACCTGCTGGTGCGATGTACGTGGTGGCCCGGGGGAGGGGCTGGTGGGAAGTTGTGCGGTGAACGGGGTCTCTGTCCTTTGGGGACTGCAGGTGACCTGGGGGAGGGAACCATCTGTTTGCTAACAGAGGATGAGGTGTGTCAGGGAGCCAGGGTCCAGGCACTCTGATTTCCCTGCAATTCAGCAGCCTGCCATCAGGGGCAGAAAACCCGGCAATTTGTAATTTACGAGCAGGGCTGATGCTGATGATGTTTCATTTAGATTGGTAAACAGAGGCTGCGGAAAAAAAAAAAAAAAGTGGGTGCTGTAGGCTTCAAGGGAAACTTCCTGGCTTTCTAGCTGCAGATTGGCCAAATTTAAGTGACAATAACACATGTTTCTGTCGTTATATATGTATTAATTTTTTTTTTTTTGAGACAGTGTCTCACTATGTAGCTCTGGCTGGCCTGAGATTCACTCTGTAGATCAGGCTTTCCTCCAACTCACAGAGATCCACCTGCTTCTGCCTTCCAAGTGCTGGCATTAAAGGTGCTTTCTCTATGTGAAAATCTTTAGGAGCATAGAGTGTCAGTGAATCTGAAGATAACTTATTAAATGTAAAACAATATCAAACTTAGACAAGATCTAAAGAAGTACAGATGCGTTCCTCACTACCTCTCAGCCTTGGTCGCTTTCGTTAGCTGCTTGTTGAATCTGGAGTCATCTTCTTCTTCTTCTTCTTCTTCTTCTTCTTCTTCTTCTTCTTCTTCTACTTCTTCTTCTTCCTCTTCCTCCTCCTCTTCTTCCTCTCCCTCTTCTTCCTCCTCCTCCTTTTCCTCCTCTTCCTCTTCCTCTCCTCCTCCTCTTTTCTTTGATTGTGCAGTGTTAGGGTTTGGGGTCTTTTGTTTGTTTGTTTTTAAGACCCAAACTTTCAGGTCATGATGGCGCAGGCCTGACACCCCAGCACTTGAGAGGTGGAGGCAGAAAGATTAGGAGTCAAGATCATCCTTGGCTACATAGGAAGTCCAAGGCTAGCCTGGGCTGCCTGAGACCCAGTCTCAAAAAACAAAAACATGGGGGCTGGAGAGATGGCTCAGAGGTTAAGAGCACCGACTGTTCTTCCAGAGGTCCTGAGTTCAATTCCCAGCACCCACATGGTGGCTCACAACCATCTGTAATGAGATCTGGTGTCCTCTTCTGTGTACATTAAAAAAAAAAAAAAAACATGGACTGGAAGGATGGCTCAGCCCCCTTACAGAGGAGCTGAGTTCAGTTCCAAGCACCCACACTGTGGCTTGCACACACCTGTAATTCCAGTTCCAAGGGAGAAGACCTTCTTCTGGCCTCCATGGGCACTGTGCACACACTTGGAGCACATATATACATGCAGGCAAATGCTCATACACATTTAAAATAATTTTTTTTAAAGAACAAACAAGTGAAAAAGAAAAAAGAAAAAGACCCAGGCTTATTCCCAGCCCTTGAGGCTTGAAAGTCAAGTACCGGTGTTGACAAACATGACTGAGCTCCTCAGACTGGCCGCCAAGTTCGCCTCTCCCTGACCAGCCTCTTCCCGAGTCTCCCCTCGGCAAGAAGCCAATTCTCTTCCGTTTGACTCGGATTGAGAAATAAATGAACAAGGCTGGAGCTCTCTGATCTCAGCTTTCTCTTCCACAGCACACTCCCCGATCAAAGATGAGCTGTCTCCACCTGATCCCACTTGACCTTGAAACCCTGGGGTGGTGAGATCTTTCTGGACATTTGTAGCTGTGGTGTCGCCTCTCAGGGTGGCTCTGCAGCCTGCCTTGTCCAGCCCAGTGCTGATCTCCAAGTCACTGTACCGGTGCCCTGCCACATTAGCGCCTCACTTATTAAGGGACTTTAACTGACTTCAAACAAGACCCACATTTTAAAAAGCATCCGGACCCTTATTCTCTGAGGCGTGTGATGTTGTGCAATTGCATGCAAGATCATCGTGTTGGCTTTTTATGATCAAAAAAAAAATCACAGTCTTGTAAAGAATCAGACAGTACAAAAGGGGGGGGGGAAGTGCGATGAATTGCTCTTCCGTTTCCTTATGATCCATGCTGGATGGAGCAGCTATCAAGTCTCATGTTTCCCTTCTTTATCAGTACTTTGTATATGCAAGGTTTAAAACACAGTGAAAACAAAGCAGTGTGTGGTCAAGAAGGCCTTGAGGGTACAGGTCAGAACGGCTGAGCCCCATCTCCCTCCAGAGACAGGGGGATGGATGGGTTAGATGCACTGGTTCATGTGTGATGCCTGGGCCAGCCCCTGTCACTGGTGGAGTGTGCCCGTTAATAATGCCTGGAGTCAGCACCCACCTCGCTTTTCTGCAGAGAGCTCTTCAGAGCTATTGAAACACCTCTGAGCCATTGTAACCATTTCCAGACAGGCCTGGGGTGCCGCCAATTTGAGAGGAGAAGCTGGGGTTGGACATGGATGCCCATCCTTGGGTCAGCCCCAGCCCTTCCTCTGCTCCCCATCTCCTTGCAGCCTTGAAGAATGCCACATTCCAGATCACCCCCGACATGATCAAAGAGAGTGAGAACATTCAACTCGGCCAGGACCTGAAGCTTTCATGCCACGTGGATGCGGTGCCCCAGGAGAAGGTGGCTTACCAGTGGTTCAAAAACGGCAAGCCGGCACGCATGTCCAAGCGGCTGTTGGTGACCCGCAATGACCCTGAGCTGCCCCCTGTCACCAGCAGCCTGGAGCTCATTGACCTGCACTTCAGTGACTACGGCACTTACTTGTGCTTGGCTTCTTTCCCGGGATCGCCGGTGCCTGACCTCAGCATTGAGGTCAACATCTCCTCCGAGACAGGTGGGGCCATTGGGAGCTGGGGGGACGCTGGGAAGGCCCAAAATGGGGGGAGGTGAGGGACACACACAGCAATTTGCAAGTGGATGTCTAATGGGAAGAGGACACCATTTGTTCATCACACACACACATACACACACACACACACACACACACACACACACACACACACACACACACGCTTGTTGGGTCCCTGTCCTAGCCAGGCTCCGTGACAGGCCTTCGGGTAGAGTGCTGGGAAGAGGAGATGCTGTGTTCCTTGAACGTGATGGGAAGATGAACGTATTCCAGACAGTTCATGAATAAACGTATCGCTGAAAACTGTAATGTGAATGAGATCTGAGGGAGGAGCAAGATTTTGCTAAGCAAAAGAAAGCCAGGGAGACCACAGAACCAGCATATGCAAAATCACTGTGGTGGGAGAGGACACTGGTCATCCGGAGGGTGGAAGAGAGACAGTATCTAGGAGAATGGAATGGCACAAGCTCAGAGAGGCCACCCTGCGGACCTCTCAGCCATGGAGGTCACGGTGCCAGCAGGGTCAGGCTCCCTGGCTGGCTGGTGGCATCTTCTCCTTGTTCGTATCTGTGTCCTAGACGGGATTAGGGGAGGTCCCGCTGGCTTCAGCCTTCAGAGGCCTGCCTCCAATACAGTCACATTTTGTTCATCCACTGGCATTAGGACAACAATATATGGATTTCGAAGGGATAGAATGCATGCATCTTATGACAGGCCATAGTGAAGAGTCAGGTTCTTATAATAATTCTTATAATAATAATTATAATATGATGAGTTGATAATAGGAAATCGAGCATTCAGTATGATTTCTTCATTCACCTCTGTGACTCATTTTATGGGGTGGCAGGGTTTTGTTTTGTTTTTTCATTATTTTACTCATTTATTTTGTGTGGCTATGCATGTGTAGACATGTTCTGTGGTGCATGTGTGGAAGCCAGAGGACAGCTTGCCGGAGTTGGTTCTCTCTTTCCACCCTGTGGGTCCCAGAGATCAAACCCAGGTGGTCAGGTTTGGCAGCAAGTGCCTTTACCACGGAGTTACCTCACCGGCCAGTTGGGGGTAGCAATTTATCTTCTCCTTGTGCTGAGGAAGAAGCGTGCCTTAGAAGCTTGAGTTTGAGAAACTTAGCAAGCAATGGAGCTGGGATGAGAGCCCAGCCAGGGACACTGTAGGAGGACGACATGAGGCTGAGGCTGGAGGACGGTTTTTGGGAGACGGCTCCAGGACCTTCTCCCGAGAAGCCAGCTGAACTTGAACTTGGCTGGCGAGCCGCGTGACCAACCAATACAGTGACAACTCTAATCATTATGAATATTTCCTCCCTTGGCACTTAAGCTCTGTCTTCAATTTCTCTCGGCGGGCAATTAGACCCAGGGGCCTCAGAGGACCCTCTGCACACAGGGAAACCCAGTGAGTGAGTGGAGAGCCCGGAAGAGGCTTCTAAAAGGAGATGGACTTCAGGAGGACCTCAGAGTGGATCGGAGCTCCACCAAGACCACAGAGTCCTTCTGCAGAGTACTTTGTGCAAAGCTGTGGGAAGCGAAGAACCCAGACTCCAGCACCTCCAGCCCCTTCCTCAGGACTCACTGTCTGGACAAGGGACCTAGGGCTATTAGGAGAAGGGAGAGGCCAGGGAAAATGCTGGAACTCTTGCCTAGGAGGCAAAAGAGGGGTCTGTACAGGAGACGCTAGTGAAGGAAAACCAGGCTGCCTAGGAAGCCAGAGGCAGCTTACTCCAGGAGGTGTTTTCCACATGAGTCTTGGAGGGTGCTGTGGGCTCTGCCAGGTGAGGACATAAACCCAGAAGGGGTACAGCAAGAAGAAAGAATACGGGGTTGCACAGTGTAGGAGACTAGGTGTGTTTCGGGGTACGTGAGAAGATTCCTCACAAATCATGCAGCTGGGACGCACCAGGGCACAGATGGGAGTTGAGGCTGGGGAATGATGGAGGCCAGAGTCCGAGGGCCCTCTCCCCAGAGCCCAAGTATAGAGCTTTAACCTGAGGGCGCATGGGAAGGGGGTCTCTTCATCCTGGGGGGCCTGGAGGGCTTCAGAGCTAGGAAGTTTCTGACTGAGGGAAGAGGCCTAGGGCTGCATCTGCATTTGGCTCACAGGTCGTATGCCTGGAGCACAGAAGCCTTGTAAACGCCTCTGGGAACGATTTAAACCTGAGGGGGGGAAATGAATGAACCGGCTCCAAAATTCAAAGAGAAAGCCATGGAATGGAAGCCAATAGATGCGCAAATGTTGGCAGGGCACAATTTATATAAACTGGATAACTGGACCCTCGCCTGGTTTCTATAGTTATTTACAAATAATTGCTCTATATTTAATTATATTTAATGTTCATTACTTGACATTTAATGATGAAATGTTTGATGTGGGTTAAGACCCAGGGAGGTCTTCTCAAAACCCTTCATTTGGCAGTGTGTTGGGGCGGAGTGGGTTCAGCTGTGAATAACAGAACTCTAATTAACAGTGAATTAAGCGTGGGGTGTGTGTGTGTGTGTGTGTGTGTGTGTGTGTGTGTGTGTGTGTGTGTGACTCAGTCACTGTGCCACTGGTTGAGCATGTATACGGCCCAGGCTCCAGCTCCATCCTGAGTGCCGCAGCACACAGGCTGGATGTCTGCGGCTTCATCGCGTAAAGGTCGGCTGGTGAGTCAGCTGGTTTAGGATAGCGGTCTCCGAAAGTCCTCAGGACTCCAGGTGCCAAGAACTTCTTGTCATCTCCTCCATGATGGCAGTTCCACCTGCAGCCCTTCATTTTCTCTAATATCCCATTGGCCGGTATTTATTCAGAGGCATGCTGGGAAATGTAGTCTTTCGTCTGGGTGGCGCGCCCTTCTGAAACCCAAGTGTCCTTACTGTTTTGGAAGAAGGGCTGCAGGATGTCGGGAGATAGACTTAACGTGGTGTGCTGATACTGTAGGCAAGAAAAGCTGGAGAGATGGCTCAGTGGTGAAAGGTACTTGCTGCTCTTGTAAAGGACGCAAGTTTGGTTCCCAACATCCCTGTTGGAAAATCCAGGGTGGCTCACAACCCTCTGTAACTGCAGTTCCCACGGATCCGGTGCCCTTGATCTTTGGGCAATGCATGCATGTGTACACACACATGCATATACACATAAATACATATCCAATAATAAATCTCTAAGAAACCAAGGGCTAGAAGTAGAAGGGCTGGGAAGGGAGAGGTTGAAAGTGCTTGAGAGTTTGAAGCAGGAGGGTGAGTTTAAAGCTTGCCTCGGCTACATAGCAAGTTCAAGGCCAGCTACAAGGGTGGCCTGCAAGAGATCCTTTCTCACCCTCCCCGCACGTGCAAGAAAAAAAAAAGAAAAAGAAAAAGAAAGAAAAGGAAAAGAAAAGCAGGACACCCCTGTATGAATGTTAGGGAAGTGGAATGGTTAGGCTGACTGCATGGCTCTTTCTGAACGGGAGAGCCTGAGGTGGAGATGCTGGGAGTGGAGAGGATTGGGGAAGGCCACTGCACTGTGCTCTGGACATTCCAAGGGACCGTGGGACCCACGGGCTGGATAAGGGGGATAGGCAGAGCCCCACCTCGGAGACCAGGGGTCCCTAACTCCGTCCACCCCTCTCCACCCTCGTCCAGTGCCGCCCACCATCAGTGTGCCCAAGGGCCGCTCCGTGGTGACGGTGCGCGAGGGCTCTCCTGCCGAGCTCCAGTGTGAAGTGCGCGGCAAGCCCCGGCCGCCGGTGCTGTGGTCTCGCGTGGACAAGGAGGCCGCCCTGCTGCCCTCAGGGCTGGCCCTGGAAGAGACCCCGGATGGGAAGCTGCGGCTGGAGCGCGTGAGCCGCGACATGAGCGGCACCTACCGCTGCCAGACGGCTCGCTACAATGGCTTCAACGTACGATCCCGGGAGGCTCAGGTGCAGCTGACGGTGCACTGTGAGTCCCCTCCCCAGACACCCAGCCTAGGCCAACCCCACCCCTCCACCTATTGCTTGCACACCCCCAAAACTCTTTGACGATCCCTCCGCCGAGGTCCAGAGAAGTTAAGTAACGTGCCTCAGTTTGCACGGCAAGGCTTGGATCTGAACTAGGTCTAGAGACAGTTCTCCAAGCCCCGTGGCTGTGCGGTCTTTGGTTACGGTGTTGGTCGAGGGACCCACTGAGGCACAACCAGAGGACCAGTCTGGGAAGCGTGGCTGAAGGGGATGGCCTGCAGGCAGTCTGAGCCTGGCTGTTGTTGTATGAATGAGTTGCCAGTGTGTATCGGTCCTGAGATGCTCCCAGGCCAGGGTCACGGGACTAGGGGACAAATAAGCCTCCTCCTCCACGGTCCTACTGACCGCAGCCCTGGTCCCCAGTCCCGCCAGAGGTGGAGCCCAGTTCCCAGGACGTGCGCCAGGCGCTGGGCCGGCCGGTGCTCCTGCGCTGCTCGCTCCTGCGCGGCAGCCCCCAGCGCATCGCCTCGGCCGTGTGGCGCTTCAAAGGACAGCTGCTGCCCCCGCCGCCGGTCGTCCCCGCCGCCGCCACCGAGGCCACCGATCACGCCGAGCTGCGCCTGGACGCCCTGACCCGTGACAGCAGCGGCAGCTACGAGTGCAGCGTCTCCAACGACGTGGGCTCAGCCACCTGCCTCTTCCAGGTCTCCGGTGAGCGTCCGGTCGGCCCCGCCCCCGCCCTCCCGCCCCCGCCCACCTGGGGCCAGGCTCCGCCCCCTGCGGCCCTGCCACGCCTGGCTGGGCCTCTCTTTCCATCTAGTTCCTGCACAGTCTTAGGCATTCGTCCTTCCAAGACCTGCCCGTGCCAGGTGTAGACCTCGCCCCGTGGAGCCCAGATCCAATCTTTGACCTCCTCTCGAAGGCCCGCCCCCTCAAGATCACGCCCCCCTCCCCCTTAAGGCTCCTGGCTGGTGACCGGTTCCTTTCTTTGGCCTCCTACAACCACGCCCCTTTCAAATCCAATCTCTGCAAACACCAGACTTAGACCCCTTCAGCCTCATCCAGCCCTGTGCTCCTGTCCCTCCAACCCCGCTTACTCTCAAAACTTGGGCCCAGCCCCATCCCAGCCATAACTCTAGCCCTTCCTCCATGGTCCTTGGACTCAGAGACTGTGAATGGGGACAACCATTGGGTACCCCGCTTATAGCTTGGGGATAGATAAAAAGCTGGGGAATGTCGGGGTGAGGCTGGGCTAGCCAGAGCACAAGTCCCCCAGCCCTCCTCCCTCACCTCCCTCCCCCCCCAGCTGCCACCCTAGAGATGCAGGCTGCCGGGTGCTCAGACATCCTTCTCAACCGCTCTTTTGCATCAGGCCTCTCCTTAGGAGCCCACAGGGCTGCTGACAGGCCAGGATGGGGGACAGAAAGGCATGGCGGGGGTGGGCGGGGGTTGCTGAAAGGGCCGAGGGCAATAGCCGGGCTGCCTGGGTGGCCGGCGGTCTCTCATTTCTCCTTTCCTTTTTGAGAGCCACCTTCCTGCCAGATCTGGTGGCCGTGAGCCTGGGAGACCTGTGTGCGGTTGCCTGGCACCCCTAGATTCCTCAATAGCCCCTCCGAGGCACTGGGCGCCCCCTTCGAGTCTTGCACTACTCGGGTCCCCTCAAATGGCAGGGCCAGACCTCCCGGGCCTCTCCCCACCCACTCAGCTTTGCCAGCCAGAGGCCCCGGTGACATTTCCCACCGCCTTCCCTCCCCCTGTCCTCCCGGTCTCCCTGTCTCCTCACCTTTTGACCTCCACCTGTCATTTCTTCCTTCTCTCCCCTCTATACGCCTGACCCTCACCTCTACCAACCTCCCTCTGTTTCTTCCTTGGCCTTTCCTCGCGCTTCTCACCAACATCCCCTCTTGGGATTTACAATCGCGCCCCCAACTCCATCTCCACCCCCACCCCCACCCCCGGCCTCACCTGCATCCTCCCCATCCCCCTCTCCTCCCAACGCCAACTCTCCTCACGACACCCCTTTCTCTTTGTTGCCCCCACCTCTGACCCCCCCTTCCCCTTTCCCATGGCTCCTCTCTCCGTGTCTCTCCCACCTCCCCTCCCCCCTCCACGGCCCCATGGCCCCCTCCCTGCCCTCTCAGCCAAAGCCTACAGCCCGGAGTTTTACTTCGACACCCCCAACCCCACCCGCAGCCACAAGCTGTCCAAGAACTACTCCTACGTGCTACAGTGGACGCAGAGGGAGCCCGACGCCGTGGACCCCGTGCTTAACTACAGACTCAGCATCCGCCAGGTGGGCCAGGGCGTGAGGCTTGGGCAAGGGGGCGTGGTGCGGTGGGCGGGTCCTAGAAAGAGGGACAGGGAGGGGTTCCCAGACACAGCCCCTCCCGTCTAGGCAACTTTTCTGAGGCAGAGGAAGAGTCCAGATGCAGCAGGCAGACCTGGGAGCCTCTGAGCACACCGTGCCCTCCATACTGTCCCTGGGTACGCCCGAGAACCAGACACAAGACGGCAGGGTGCAGGGCAAGGCCAGTGTGGCTCATAGAATGAGCATCCACTCTGGTGTCCAGGGGAGGGCAGGGTCTCTGTGGGACAGAGCCCGGGTCCGTGAGCTACTCTTACGCTGCCTGTCTAATCTATGTGGTCCTGCCAAGAAGCAGTAGTGGGAGGGGAAGACTGGCCCTTGGGGACAGGGCCTGGGGTCGGGGGCACAGCTTCTAAAGAGTTTAGTGAGCTTACAGTTCTTTTGACCCTCATTTGTTTATCTGTGAAGTGGGATAATGTTACTATTTTATCTTAGAGGATTGTTGTTTTGAGTATTAGGCGAGTTATGATGCCTACGCACGTTCTAGTGCCCAGGACACACTAATTGTCCCTTACCTGTTGCCATGGTATACCGCGATATATCCTTGTTAGCACAGTGGCATCCTGGGAGGGGGCCTGGAACAGCAAATTCTTCCATCTCAAAGACGGGGAAACCCAGGGCCTGATGTCCCAGATCTTTGCTCTTTCTGCTCCCCTGAAGCATTCCAGGGCCTGTGCTGCCCCTCCAGGGGAGGCTATGGCCTGCTGAGCATCTGGGAATTCTCCTGTATCCACAGTTGAACCAGCACAATGCCATGGTCAAGGCCATCCCTGTGCGGCGTGTGGAGAAGGGGCAGCTGCTGGAGTACATCCTGACTGACCTGCGTGTGCCCCACAGCTATGAGATCCGCCTCACACCCTACACCACCTTTGGGGCTGGTGACATGGCTTCCCGAATCATCCACTACACAGAGCGTAGGTGATGGTGGTGGTGGCGGCCCTGGCGGTGGCAGGAAGGGTGGGCCCATCGCCTATACCCCTCCTACACAGCCCTTGAACTTGGAGCACCCCATTGGTCCCCAGTCCTGGCTCTGAAGACCCTTCCCCACTGACCCCCAGCCTGGGCACACTTTGCACAGCCATACACCTCAGTTCTCACTTTTTTTTTTCTTTTTTTTTTTTTTGCTTTTTCAGCCATCAACTCGCCCAACCTATCAGGTAAGACCCCAGTCCTTAACTTCCCCCACCCTTTAGGGACACAGAGGCTTATATGGGATGTAGGGACCTTAAGAGATACTCAGAGAGAAGAATAACTTCTTCCGGTGTTTCCATGGAGAAGGGCCAGCAACAGAGGATGGGGCCGGAGACGCTGTGCAATCAGAGTTTATCCCGGGGCTCCAAGACTGCACGCTGGTGGAGGGCACTGTCCGCCCGAAGTAATGGAAAAGTCGAGCTTCCTGGCCTCCCCTGTTTCTGCCGGAAAATTCCCTAAACAAAAAAGCACCTTAGGGAGGACAGGGAGCAAGGGTGCTAACCTGTGCTGCTGGGCTTCTGCAAGGGACCTCTGTAGAGAACTCAAGGGTGTCTGAGTCTGAAGAGGTGCATTGTTAGTTCTTTATTTTCCCAGCTTCTGACAGAAACTTGCTCTTTAGCGGTGAACGTAGACAACAAGCCACAGCAGAATAATCAGCACCTGTTACGCTGTCATCCGCAGACACCCAGTGTTTCCCCGTCGCCTTACAGTTGTTACAGACATCTGTAAATGTCATCTCCATTCATTAGTACTGCAGAACCACGGTGGTTATTAGACCTAACACTAGATCTTGTGATTTAATTATATAATAAAGAGGCCCTGTTATTATAGAACAGATTACAAGAATATTTTGACAACTGTATTTCAATGTAATTGATTTCCTTTGAAGCCCCTGTGCATTTTATTGTATGTGTCTAGAATCATTATTCTGGAAGGAACTCTTAAACCAGAAGGCTGAAGCTCTGTTCCTGAATAAATTTGGTCCTCCCACACTGCCTGGTCTCTCTGGCCCTGAGGTCCCGGACTCATTGTTTAGATCGTTTAAAGCTGGCTTAGGGGTGTTGAGGGGAGGCAAAGACAGACAAGGGGCTAGTTGTCTCACCCCTGTGCCCTCCACACAGACAACACCTGTCACTTCGAGGATGAGAAGATCTGCGGTTACACCCAGGATCTGACAGACAACTTCGACTGGACTCGGCAGAATGCTCTTACCCAGAATCCCAAGCGTTCTCCTAATACTGGCCCCCCGACTGATATCAGTGGCACCCCTGAAGGTGAGGACGTGGCCTGTCCTTAGGAGTAGAGGATGACCTCGGGGAGGAGTCTAGGCCCGTGGAGCCCCAGTCTGAGAGTGGAGGGAGACACATAGAATCCTCGGGGACCCTCTGAAGGAGACATGCCCTGTCTGAAGGATTCCCCAGTCTGAGGGCAACAGAACTCTGGCCTGACTGAAGATCAGAAAGGAAGAAATTGTCCGTAGAGCTGGGGACTTCTGAACTCAGTGGGGATGGGCTTGGGCAGCTTGTGCTAGGTCTAAAGACCAGGCAGGGAGGAAGTCAACTGGACGGAGGCTGGGTGGCTGAGGAGCCACGTTGCTAGCACGCCCCCCTCCTTTTCACTGCAGGCTATTACATGTTCATTGAGACATCCAGGCCCCGGGAGCTGGGGGACCGAGCCAGGTTGGTGAGTCCCCTGTACAATGCCAGCGCCAAGTTCTACTGTGTCTCTTTCTTCTACCACATGTATGGGAAACACATCGGTGAGTCGGAGACCATGATATTGACTGTGCGAGCTGCCTGGGGAGGATAAGGGAGCCGCAGAAAGCTCAGAGGACTTCCCCAGGAGGCCTAAGCTTCTCAGGTTGGCTAACCTGGGAGTAGGGGTGGAGGAAATGTGGGCAAGTGGGTGCTGAGGATGGAGACTACAACTTAGCTGTTTTGGTTGTATATCGACTGCTTGCCAGGTCCTGGGGCCCATACAATTCAGAGAGGTTCAGCATTTCCTCAAGAATCTTAAAACACAGCATTGGAAGGGGGTGTCTTCCTGAGCTGCGAGGGGAAGTACTGCTTCCTAAGTATGAGAGTATATAAATATATAAGATGGGGAGAGAGGTTGGGGAGAAGCACCCCTTTTCATCCCTGAGCTCGCCAGCACAGCCACCTCTGCCATGTGCCAGCATCAATCACTTGGATGCAGGAGATAGACAAGTCCCTGTCCTCCAGTCTAGGGGAACAGGCAAATCTGACCGCTAACGGCATCTGATAGGAGTGGCTGACCACCGTGGTAGTGGAAGGACAGCGCCAGGGCAGCAGATGACAAGGAACACGAGGTCTGTCTGGAGGCTGGGCCTGGGAGACCGCCCGGAACATGAAGACTGTCTAATGTGCTGTTTACGATGGGTGTGTGGCCATGCATGCCTTTGATGCCAGCCTTGTTTGAGGCTTGGTCTACATAGCCAGTTCTGAGCCAGCCAGGACTATATAGTGAGACCCTGTCAAAAAAAAAAAAAAAAAAAAAAGTTTTTTTTTTTTTTTTTTTTTTTCTTTGTTTTAACCTGCAGCAGAGCTAATGCATTTTACAGGGACCGAAAGTTTATAAGAGTGCAGTAAATACCTCCCGCTCTTCCTGGTCCCGCCGCCGCCACCACCACCACAGCAGGCAGCGCATGGCGTCTCCCTCCCTCTCCCCCCACTGTTTTATACTCTGTTTTTATACTCACCGTCTCCCTCTGGACCATCCATCATCCTGGCAACTCTTCCTTATCAGTCCACCGAAGCTGCTTTGTTGCCCCTGTATGCCCCCCCCCCCCGCCCTGCACAGCAGAGGGGGTGACTTTAAGTTTCACCCAGGAGAAGTGTCCACATTGAGAGAGGAGGGTCATGCCGAATGGATGAGCCAGGATGGGGGTGGGATAGGAGATTCTGCACTCACGGAGTCCCCGCCCCCAACCATCTGCACAGACCAGCACTGTGGCTGGGTCTGGACTCTGTGAGACGGTTCCCCTGGGGTGAGAAAGACGGGGACCCTGGCTGTGTGCCCCGTTGGCACTGAGTTTCAGAGCAGTCAGTTCCTTCTAGATTCCCCAATCTTAGTGCTGAATCACCCCAACCCCCCGGCAAATGGAGATGGTGGGTCACCGTCACCACACCGTCAGAGTGGTCCTGGGCGTCCAGGTGTCCGGGGAGCATAGAGGATATAATAAATCTAGGGGATTAGGGAGACAGAGAGCCTGAGAGGACAGACACACTCTGGGCTTCCCAGGAGTGGAGCAGACACTAGCAGTAAAGCCATCAGGAGGCAGCCTTGAGGCCAGCTAAGGGGACTCTCGTCGTCAGACCTATGGGTCAGGAGTGGCTTATTCCAGAGGTGAAGCGCATCCCGCCCACAGACAGACTATCCAGCTGTGGAGAGACTCCATCCCAGATCATGCTTCTCCTCTGCCCGGGACCCTCTGACCCTTCCTGTGGCCATCTTCAGGTCTCCCGTGCCGGACACAGCTCTGACCTCTCTCTGGCCCGGTTTCCAGCCTGCTGACACTGGCACCCCATCCCTTGCTTGACTGCTCCAGGCACATCCCTGCCTCTGAGGGCTTTGCTCAGAGTGGTCTCTGGCCTGGAATGGCACTCCTTCCTTCGCTCAGGTCTCCTGGGGCGAGCCTGACATAGCTGCCCTTCCCGTTCCTCGAAGTGGTTTGTGCTTTGCATGTGTGTGACTGTGGGGCACGTGGTTGCGTGTGTGCGGGGGGTTGCATGTGCGCGGGTCTGTGTGTGTGCACCTGCCTGTGGAGTTCGGAGATCAACCTCAGACATCGATCCTCTGTCAAGTTCCATCTTATTTGCTTTTTGTTTTGTTTTGTTTTGAGGCAGAGTCTTTTTAGGTAGCCCTGGCTGGCCTGGAGCTCACTGTGTAGACCAGGCTGGCCTCAAACTCCCAGAGATCCACCTTCCTTTGCCTTCTGTGTGTTGGAATTAAAGGCCTTTGCCACCACATCCAGCCAACCTTAATTTTTGAGAAAGCGTCTCTCACTGAACCTGGAGCTCACTGATTCCACTAAAGAGATGGCGTAGCAGTTAAAAAAATGGTTGCTGTTCTTGAAGAGGACCTGGGTTCAATTCCTGACACCCACATGATGGCTCAAAATGGTCTGTAACTCCTGTTTGGGGGCATCTCTTGCCCTCTTCTGACCTCTGTTGGCATCAGACACACGTGTGGTGCACATACACACATGCAGGCCAACACTCATACACATAAATTACAAATGAATAAATCTTTTTAAAAGATTGTTTTTGAGACAGGGTTCCATGTAGCCCAAGCTAAATGAAATTGTTTTGAAGTTGAGTGCTTATAAGAACCCTAAAAAATATTAGACAAGTAGCCGCCCTCTTAGGGGTCCATGCCTGCCTGATGAGGCCCTGCCAGCCCTGAGCCTCTAGCATGTCCCCCAGGCCTGGCTCTGCTATGCCCCCCCCAACACACACGCACTGTGCCTGGCAGCTTTGGGCACCAGCTGTCCCTAAACTTTGTGTCTCGTCGGCTCTCCTTGGTCTCAGCCAACTCCTTTCATCCAAGGCAGGTAACATTTGGTGACTCTCCCCGCAGTGGGGGGAGGGAGGTGTCTGTCTATCTGGAGTCCCAGATGGTGCAGCTCTGTCTGTGGGCAACTCCATGGAAATGCCAGCCACCAGGCAGGCGCCTCTGAAGATGGACTTCCCTTTCCTGCAGAGCCAGGTCTCTTGTGCCATGGGCGTGGTGGAGAAGGGCTGAAAGAGACATCCAGGGGACACTTATAGCGTCGGTGTGACTTTCAGTAAGCTGCAACCCGCTGTTCTCCGGGTGCCCCTCAGCACTCCTGGGGTCCAGATCCCCGAGGCGGCACCCGTAGGCTACCGCCCTCTGAATCTTACGCTAATTGTGTTCACCCTAGCCACGTAGCCCCCAGATTTACGTCTTTAAATAAACTCATCCTATGTTTCAGGGTTGTTTTTCAGCTTCGTCCTAGCATCAGCATTAGAGAGAGCATGACTCGAAAGGCCAGCTTTACCCAATATGTAGTAAGACATCCAAATAAGGAGCTGGGGAGACGGCTCAGCGGGGAGAGTGTTTGCTGCTGGAGCATGAGGGCCTGAGTTCGGATCCCCAGCACCCATGAAAAAGCTGAGTGGCAGTGCACATCTGTAACCCGATGGGGAGGGGGAGGTGGGGACCAAGACAGGCAAATCCCAGGGGCTTGCTCAGCAAGCCAGCTGTCAGTCAGTGAGCTCCAGGGTCAGTGTCCAAAAAGATGCTAGGAAGATACCCAATGCTGACCTCTGGTCTACACACACACACACACACACACACACACACACACACACACACACACACACAAATAAAAATAAAACAAATCTCTCTATATATAATTTTATAAACCTTACAAATAGGGGTTAGGGATTTAGCTCAGTGGTAGAGTGCTTGCCTAGCAAGCATCAGGCCCTGGGGTTCGGTCCTCAGCTCAAAAACAAAAACAAAAACAAAACAAAAAAAACCTTACAAATAAATAAATTAAAAAGGTAAGCTCCTTTCTGCTCCCCAGTAACTACGTACCGTGTGGGTGTGCACTTGTGCTCTGAGAATCCTGTCTGAACTGAGGTGAGGGATGTACCTGTTCTGGCATGGTCTCTCTCCTAGCTGGGGATGGCGGTGTATGTGTGTGTGTGTGTGTGTGTGTGTGTGTGTGTGTGTGTGTGTGTGTGCTTGTATG